CTCCGCAGCCTAGCCTACGGGCGCTTGTACATTACGAGTCGTGGCGGCCGGAGAACGGGTCGGTGGGGGGACCGCTTCCACTCCTGATCTCACCTTGCTAGGTATCCCGCTCCGTGATAGAAACCATTGTTGCCACAGACCGCGCCCCCCCTCTAACAACCTCTAGGCTGCCAACTATCTGCATCCCTACCTGGGATTCCCCAATGGGTTGGTTGTGTGGGCCGACGGAGACCGAATGGTGCTATTCGTGCCTCGCGCTGGCTCAAGCTCCCTGGCCTCGCAGGGTCCCCCATCCCAGCCTCTCCTGATAGATTCGAACGGCTCAAATTAGACGTGGTTCGGATGATGACAAAGCTAGCGCACCCAAGGAAGGGCCCAAAGATCGGACGAACATCGCCGGCCCATTTGCCTTTGTTCGTCCCGCACAACGCTCTGACGGGATGGTCCTCAACGGTCGACGATGATGGCGATCATCGTCACACCAGCCGGGGCCAATGTCCTGTCCTCTGACTTGGTCAGAGAGACACCAGACGTTGCTCTCGCGTAACACATGACAGCATGTTGAGTCGCCTTTCGTTTTTGACACCTGTGTCCCTGCCCCCTCGCGAGTGTGCCACATCGCCAAGCGCCACAATGACACGCGTCACTCTTTCTCTGACCCTCTGGGCTTTCTGTCAAAGATGCCGTGGTTCGAAACCACGTTTGCGCCTCAACGTTAGTCCCCATTCACCGTGAGCCCCCTTGGACGATGTGGCGGCCACCGGGCGAAGCCCAGAACCTTGGCCATTGGCACGGCCCCGAAGGCGAGAAAAAAAAAAAAAAAAAAAAAGTGATACAGCACTACCGTTTCCTTGAGAGATCGTCCGAGGGCCTCCCCAGACGCAAGCTGAGCGAGACCAATGTCTTCCTCCCCCCCTATCCCATACAAGATACAGTGGGCAAAAGATCGTGTGTGTGTGTGTGTGTGTGTGTGTGTGTGTGAGGCCCCTGCTGTAAACCCTTCCTATCCCCTAGTGTTCAGCACACGCGAGCGGAATGCTGAGAATACGCCTCCTTTAGCCTTGTTATGTCTGAGGAACGCCCACCCTCAACGCGACGCGTGGGGAAAGCCTCTATTGCTATGTCTCTCTCTCTCTCACTCTCTAACTCTCTCCTCTCACACAAAGCTTTCTTGCTTTGCCACGACCTCCCACGAGGAACGCAAAGCTATCGCGCGAACCGTTTAGCCTTGATCTCACTACCCTCGGGTCCATGCAAGCGCGTTCCGGACCAAAGCTGGGGGGGGTTGTCCTTGTACCTCCTCTTCCCCCGCCCCTCACCCCATATCCCTCCGAACCGTCGCTCTCACTCGTTTGCCTGGTTGTTCCCCTTATGTATCTCGTTCGTGGCGCTCCTTTGGCTTGGACGCCGTTAGTCTGGGCTCGCCCGATCTTTGTGCTACCACGACGCGCACGGTTCAGATGTGAACTAGATCCCCATTATACGTCGGGCGCGGCCCTTGATGGATCTACCGGCACCGTGCCCCTTGACCCATTCCGGTCCCGAGGGAGCGTGGGCAATACGGGACGACGGCGCATTATCCCATCGGCCTGGGACGAGCGGGACAACAACACCCACATGGTTTTGTGACAGCTCGTTTCTGTCAAACAACTTGCAGGCCAAACCTCCCGAGGTCGACGCCGAATTAGGCGCGAAAAAAACTAGGCCCCGCTTGGACCATGGTATCCAGCTCGCTGCTGTATGTCTCTCTTCGGACCTCTCAGTGGCACAATATTGATCATCCTTGCAGGGTTGGCTTGCCCCTGGCAGGATATGTGGGCTGTTTCTGCAGAGCTCACCCCGAAGTCTTTCCCGCCCCTGGTGAGTATCGCATATCGCGGAGGTAATGATATTCTCCATGATCCGCGTAGGGAGATCAAGGGATTCCTTAAACTCTCCTTCTCGTGCACCGTTAAACAGAAATCTCTGGGGGCGAGTATCGTGCTTCGGGCAATGGTCCAAGGATTGCCAACCTATCGCGGCAATATATTGCCATCCTCCATATGTCGTCCCAAGAACCCGCTCTGGTCGGATGCCTACCGCCAGGATTCCTCGCGCTTGTATGTGCCTTGGAGCGAGCCGCGACTCAGAACGGTTAATTTCTGGGTGATCAACATGCCTTGAGCCTTGGGGGATCCCAATCGGGCTGGTACTAACCAAGAATGCCCCTAATCAGAAGTGCGAGCCTGGGCCAACATGATCTGTCCGGGAATGTTATGGGCACCGCATGCTCCACTGTTCAGGAGGATGTTCCTCTCGGAGTCCCGTAGCGTCCAAGTCCCGCAGCGTTCAGCCCGCAGTGGCAATTCTCTCACATGTCTGCCGGATATCTTCCATCTTCCCCGGGCACGCCGCCGGCCGATGGCACTGTTCCCATTGTCCCAATGAGGCTTCAGCAAAGTCCCGCCAATGTCTCCTATGACTCGGAAACGGGCTATCAGCCTCAACCTCGAGCCTCGCGGGTACCCCATAATGTGTCCACAAATGCCTCTTTCTCGCCGTAACATCTTTCGATCCGACTCTAGCGAGCAGTGACTCGTTCTCGGCGGTGGCTAGTACGAACACATCGTTTCACACTCATCCAGTATTGCTTTTATCTCGAACGAGGTGGCGTTTATAGCATTCTAGAAGGGGACATGGTCAGCGTATGCAAGAGTATCACGAAGAAGGAAAACAAAAAGTTCAGTCGACGGGCCTCGTTGCGAAGCAATGTGGGACATCCTTCTTGACTGGACTACGAGTCCTATTCTATCGCCTCCTCGTTCTGGGCCATGATCTCGTTGTCCATGTCTTCCAGTACGCCTTGCATCTCCTCTTCGGTAGCTTCCAATCCATCGGAGCTCATCAGCTTCGTGTCCTTCTCCTCAGCTATGCTACGGTTAGCGAATGGCATAGTTGGGCACATGGAATTGCACTTACTCCTGGCTTCAACAAGCAAGTTCTCTTGCACCTCAACGTTTGTCAGGACTGAGTTGTCTCCGATGACACATCTCTTGCCGAGGATGCATTTTGTGAGCTTGCAGTTCTTGCCGACCACGGCTCCCTCCATCAACAAGCACTGGGACAGCTTGGCTCCCTCGTTGAGCTGGCAGCCAGCGCCAATGACGGACTCCTTGACAGAAACCTTTTCCTCCACCGTGACGTTCTCGCCAACAAGACTGTCGGCCTTTGTGATTGTCGTGCGACCCTTGATACCCTCTGGGTATGCCACCTTCTTGGCATGCGCAAAGGGGGACGCGGCATCGCTGCCAGTTTCCTCCACCGATGGCACCTTGGCGAGCTGTAATGACACATTCAGAAGCAACTGAGCAGTGTCCACGCGCCTGACAATCGGCGCATCGGGTTGGGAAGGGTGCAAATAAGCCATCATCGGAGGCACCTTCAGCTCCGTTCCACGGGTCTTTGCATCGTCATCGGCATGTCCGCTGGCTTCGGTGCTTTTATGAGGTCGAAGTTCCTCGGGATCTTCATCTTGAGGTGATGTTGTGCTCTCTTGCAGGGAATCACCGTCATCGTCCTCATTATCCTTACGCAAGACCTCGTCCAGTCGGAGCTTCTCGGCAAGACCAATCTGCCAGCCAGCCTTGGCCCACCAACCGATGACATCCTCGCCAATGTTTTCCAGCCGATCATTCTTCTCAACGAAGTCCATGATCCACTTGGGCAGGATGTACAGGTGAGCATCTCGGTGTGTTGTGAGCATCCTTAGGCGGGGGTGGCGTCTCATGAGACCGTGGCGGACAGGCAAGCCTTTTCTCTCTTCCGCGAGGTCTTTGAGGGAGTCCGTAGGCATGGAGTAGACGAGATTAGACAGATGCGGCAGCAATGAGCCCTTGGGCGGCGAGACGTGGGACGGCGTCACGGGGGTAACAGCAATGAAGTCGGTCTCCTCTCCTTTGACCGGAGTCGCAGTCTTTGTCTCGTACCAAACGCCCAGTCCCCCACTGAACTGGTTCGAGTTACCTGTTGAAAACTTTGGGGCGTCGAGGAGGTCTGACATGCTGGCGCCACTGACCATCCATGCTTGCAGCAGCTTCTCGCCGGCAATCTCGCAGATGAGATCGCAGGGGAGAACGACGAAGTCGGAAGTGACGAGCTCCTTAACCTCGGGAAGACGAAGGATTTCAGCAGTGCCCGTGGTCTGATCCAGGTCCTTGGGAGCGAGGATGCCTGGTCTGGGGAGGGGGAGTGCTGTGAGGTATGGATTGGTGTTCAGGGCAGTGGTGAGAGCTTCCTCTGCAGAGGCGGGACAGATAAGAGTGATGTCTAACTTGGTCAGCGGGGTGACGTTTCGCATAACGACAAGGAATAAAACTGATGAGTGCCTCTCAAGCAGAGCAAGGCAGGCCCGCAGCTACTTACGGGTAATGCCCAAACGGTAGCAGAAGTCGACGGGGTACCAGACCATAGGTCGATTGGCGATCGGTAGAAGGGCCTTCGGGTTCTCATCGGGGTTGGAGGTGAAAGTCGGGAACGAAGATCCCGGGCCGCAAAGGACCAAGGCCTGGAGCCCTGGTGAGGGCATCGACACAGCGTGGGGCATCGTGAGATGCTTTGGTGGGGTGTTGTGCCTGCGTCGAGAAGCTGCTGGCTGCTATGCCAAGACGTGAATTGGGTGTGTAGTAGTCTGGAAGATGTGCACTAGCAGAGGTAGGCTCTCGAAGCGTCGCGTCGTAGATCTGTTCTATTTGCGTCGCGCAATGCCCGAGGCCGTCTTGGTGACTCTTTTTATTTTTTATTTTTTTATGGTAATTGGCGGGCGGCGCGCCGAGGGAGTCATCGCCCAAAAATGCGCCCCTCGGCGGGATGATTAGACCCACTGTTGACGTCTCGTTAGGTATGGTGGGGTTCTGCACGTGACTCTCTCGGCACATCCTCGGTCCACGCTTACGAGAAGGAGTGAGTGATAGAGGTGTTTGGCCCGCCAACCGATGGCAAGCACGGTCAACCTCGGGATGCCCCCTGGGCCGTAGCTCCTTGTCGTCCCCATGTTGATGTCTGTCAACCCCAAGCCCAAGACCAGCCACCCGCGCTTGCGAGAAGTGGATGATGCCCAGCCTGTTCCCGCGTTTGCAACTTTTTGTCCTCCAACAACCTCTTCGCCACGAATATTAACGCGGAAACGTCCATCTTTTTGACGATTGGCCATTGAATACCAGATTGGGTTGCGACACCGCTACTTGCGCAAACGCCCCAACTGTCGTCAGAAAGACCCCCGGAAACTCGAAGCCGCTATCAACCTCGAGCGGATACACCTATACCTGGGCCACACAGCCCCTAGTGCAATGCCCACATCCAACTAAATGTCGTGGCCCAATGATCAACACTCTCGGAGGCGCGGGGTATGGAGCCATTGGGTGCCGCTCGCAGTCACCGTGACTGTTGCGACAGTCGGTGTGGCTGCGTGGGTTTGGAGCCAGCGGAAGGACGAAGACGAGACACCCGAGAGCGAACAGTACCCGGATCTCGACTACGGTAATGGTGAATACGGGGATAATTCCGCGTACGGTACTGCCAAAGGGCCGAAGCCTCCCCCGAGCAATGTCGGGACCGAAACATACGGCACAGCCGACGCATCTCGGGACCCAGCGGCTGATGGATGGGGCGCGCGCATGTCGGGCGCGTTGAGGCGCACACCCAGCCCACAGCAATTCTTCGAGTCCGCCGGCAAGACCGTCACCGCAGGCGTCGCTGCGGCTGGTGCCGTTGCCGGCCGCGCCCTTGCGGCCATCCGCGAGGAGGACAAGAATGCGTACGCCGACCACGAGACTTGGTCCGAGGAGGCAGACGCCAGAAAGGAGCGACCATCCGCGCCAAGGGACCCGAGCAAGCGGCGGAGGACCGTCGCTATTGTTGTCTCTGCCGACAACCACGCGGATGATTTCGACGAAGATGGCTTCCATGAACACGCTGTAAGTGCATTCCCTCCCTCGCCAATAGGCATCGTATCGCCTACGCATATCTGACCAACATGCAGTCCATCTTGTCGCATATCCCGCGCTACAACGATTTCAACGACATCAAACTTTTCGTTCTGATCTACGCGCCGGGTCTCAAGGAGACTGCTGGCGAATCTACGAGTAACCTTCCGCCACCTTCGTTGAGCTCGTCCTTCTCTAACATTGAGCACCATCAAGCCCAGACGCCTGGTGAAGAGTCGTCAAAGAGCCCCTTGATGCAAGCTTCATCTGGAAACGCTGCCTTCAATGCCGTCTACTCTCAGGCATTGGCTCTGGTCGAGAAGGAAACCATGGTTATGCCCTTCACCACACCCAACGGCCACAACCATATCCTACGCCATCTGCAGCCTGAGATTATCTATCTCCAGGAGAGTCTGGCCGGCGAGAATGGCAGTGTCGTCTCCAACCTGCAGACCTGGCTACGCCACGACATCATCCTTGTTGTCGGTGCAGAAGGTGGCGACGGGGGCCTCGCCGACAGCGAGTCGGAAGCCGAACGGCCCGCCAAGGAAGAGAAGTGGTGGCAGCGAACGGACCGTGTTGGACGGGGCCGGGGGGTCGTTGTTGTTGACGGCATGCGGGTCCATGACGACTGGGCCCGCCGTGTCCAGGGCAAGGAGTAAATGCTTACGACCCCACGGTGTATAAATGACGACCTGAATATCCGATCACGTTTTTTATGTAAGCGCGGGGAGCTCTCGATGGATGTGGAAATGTGTGTTATGTTCGGACTGTATATACCACGAGATATCATGTGACGTTTTCATGAGGAAGGTAATTGACTATTGTAGCGCAAAACCGTCCCATTCGCGCGTGAATCACATGCACGAGTTAACATGATTATGGGAAGTATAGTATCATTCTATGAGTGACCCCGGAAAGAATAAATTCAAGTCAATCCGAACATCAAATTGCTGATTGATGAGCTTCTCACACCCGGCCAATTCGCATCCACGTGTTAGCCACATGCAGTTATGCACAGTCCCTATCAAGGTACTATGGAATTTATCCAAAGGGGTTCCCCGTGGGGTCGCACAGGTACACGATGATGGTCTAACACAGTCATAAAACACCGTAAAAGCCCTATGCTATGCTCGGCACTCAAAACACAATATAAATGTGTTAAAATAATAGAAACCCGTATCGTGAAATCTTTCAACCAAACTATCCGATCAACCAAGGCGGAGCTTCCAGAGATGACTCCCCTAATTACTACACTTATACACGGTCTGTGCACTGTCTGCGCACAGTAGGCTCGTGCATGTATCCGGGGTTTTGCCTGAGGCTTGCCTTGTCGTCTTCCCTCCACGCCCACGACCCCGTCTCGGACACTTGCGGCGGTTCCTCCTTGGAGCCTCACACGCGGAAGACTGACTACATCCCAACCCCACACGCCTGGAATTCCATCCCTCTGGCCTGTCGTGCATCTTCTCTATCCTTTTCTCCGAATTAATCTTGTTTTCCCGGCCTCTCGCTTCGATAATTCGACAACCGCGACCGCGTTTCCGACCCAGACTTCTCTTCTCCACGCCGACGTCACCCGATTCGTCAACGCGAATCAACCACCTTGCCCATCCACCTCCGGAATCCCATCGCGATCGACGAGCGAGCCGAACATCTCCTTCAAATGATTGCTCTGTAACGCGCATCTGGGCATCATTCGACAGTGGGAAAACAGCGTCGCGACACTTTTCTCGGCCTGCTCTGGACCGGTAGCCGCCCCCTCCGGCCATCATGGCGCCGGTCGTGACAGCGGTCCAACCGCCTTCTGTCGCGTCCAAAGTCAAGCGTCCTGCGCCCCCCGGTATCCAAACCAATGGGGCTAGCTCAATCCGTTCATCGCCCTCTCCTTCAATGTCGACCAAGAAGCCCCCAAACTCCGCAACGATGAACGGCGCGAACCCGCAATCGGCGCGACCTGCTAACCGCACGCGCCGCGAGCCGTCAAATCAAGCCAGTCGCATATCCAGAAACAGCGTAGGGTTACGGTCAGCGTCTCTCGCAGCCGACATGGCCTCCGCCCAAGCTGTGGAGCCGCCGCCCTACAGTGAGTTTCTTACGGAACCTCTCTGTGTTCCTGTATGAGCATTTTGCTGACATATACACAGTTGTGACCGACGAATACATCCTCAAGAAGTACACGGGCAACCCCCCATCTCTCGTTGTACACATGCACCCGACCCATTTTCGATTCGACCAGCAGGATGGCATCTTCCCATACAAGTCCCCGATGCGACTTTTCCTGGAGCATTTGCGCATGCGGACGGTACCTCACGATCTCCTCGAGTACTTCTCACAAGCAGGCGTGCCTTTTTACGAGGGCTGCCTGATCGTCCAGGTTCATGATCACAAGTCGGTGGCACAGTCCAAGGATGTCCAGCGCCCAACATCGGCCTCGAACAAAGTGGTTCCTTCCTCCATCCACAACCATAATCCGTATATCGTGCCCTCGCCCTATGTGCCTTATCCAAAGGAGTCCCTAGGGACACACCCGGATGCAGCATCCGGCGTACAAGAAGACACAAAACCAAAGACGGCGGAGGAAAAGGACAAAGAGAGCATGCCGGCTCCAAGCTTGCCAGGCGAAGGGCAGAAGAGCAGAACCCCCTCAAAGCCCAAGACCTTCACAGTGGTCCTCCATCCTACGCCGGAAAGCTTGCAAGCGGATCTCTTAATCAAAGCTGCAACTCCTCATGGTATAACCGACACGCGTGGCACCGTTGACGGCACGGCACCTCCTTCGACGCCGATATCGATGGTCCCGCCTACTCCCACTGCGGGTAGCATGGCCCCACCGGCCAAGAAACAGAAGCGCGAGCGCATGGAACTTGACGGAAGCAACATATACGTAGCAGAGTCCCATATTCTTCTTGCGACCAACGCGCCTCTGTTCTTGGAGCCAACAAGGGATGCAGAAGAGACGATTGCTCTTCTGGACATGCTGGCGCATCCCAAGCATTCGGACTTGCCTCCTCAGCCCAAGACCAGGAAGCGGACTGTGGCGGAGATGGCGGCCGACGAAGCAGCTGCGGCAGACCAGGAGAGATACATGCTCATCCTCGACGAGCGGCTTTCTTCCAGCACCAATGGCGCACAAAGCGGAGCCAACGGGGCCGACAAGGAAGGCCCGGCCGTTGTGTCTACCTTCGAGCCAAGGTTCGAGCGCTTCAAGGTTATTGCCGATATTAAGAGAGAGCACGATGAGAGGAAAGAGCAGGAAAAGATCAAGGCGGCCGAGGCCGAGCGGAAGCTCGCACAGGAAAAGCAAAAGCAGATGCAGGAGCAACAAGCCGTCATTGCGGCCCAAAGACAAGCAGAGGCGGAGAAGATGCGGCGCGAACACCAAATGGCCCAGGAACTCAAGGCTCGCCAAGAGCAGCAGCAGAGGGAACAGCAGAGACGAGCCATGGCCGCACAAGCCGCTGCGACCCAGGCTGCCCAGAACAACAACCAGAACGCGGCGGCAAACATGGCGCAGCAGCAACAGACGAACGGCCCCATGCCCAACGGCACAGCTGGTGGTGTTGCCAGCGCCGTACCAGCCCAGGCCCAGGCGCGCTTCTCTCAAGCAGCTCAACCTACAGTATCTTCGCCCGTTGTTCGCCAAGGGACACCTCACAGCATGTCTTCCCCCATGCCTGGCGCTGTACCCATGCAGCAGTCCAACTCCCAGATGGCAAACAGCCCTCCGCGCCCTCCGTCCGCAGTGCCCAGACACCCAGCCAACGTTGGTGGCGTTCCCATGTCACACAGCATGTCTGCTCGCGCAAGCCAGCAGAGCCATCAGGCTGGCACTCCCCGTATGCATCATGGAACGCCCAGTATGCAGGGGACACCTGGTACCCGTCCGGCAGTGATGGCCACACCACGTATGAACCAGGCCAGTCCACCGCCCAACATGATGGCCTCAAACTCGCAAATGGGCCAGCACATGATGATGGGCACACCGGGATCCATGCCGCAGCCTGTGCATAACCCGAACCTCATCGCGGCGCAGGTTGCCCAGCAACAGCGAGCCATACAGCAGCAACAAATGGCGGCAGCTATGCAGAACGGCATGGGCAACATAATGAACGGCAACATGAACCCGCAACAGATGACGCCGCAGCAGCAGCAGCAGTTCCTGCAGCAACAGATGCAGCACAGAATGATGATGCAGCAGCAGCAGCAGCAGCAACAGCAACAGCAGCGCGGGAATATGGGCAACATGGGCAACATGATGAATCAGCAACTTGCGCAGCGATACGCCCAGCAACTCAGCCAGATGGGGGCCAACCAAATGAATGGCGGTCAGATGACGCCGCAGATGCAGGCGCAGATTCAGGCCCAGCTCCAGGCGCAGATGGGCAACCCGATGCAGCGCCAGATGGCCGGTGGTCAGAACATGATGAACGGTCAAAACATGAACATGCAGGCGATGATGCAGATGCATCAGCAACAGGCGATGAATAACAACAATGCACTTACGAACCAGGTCAAAATCCAAGGACAAGCGATCTACAACAAGCAGATTGCTAATCTCGCGGCAAAATGGGGCGGTGCTGTAGAGAACATCCCGCCGGAGCAGATGGAGGCATTCAAACGGAACTGTATGATGGAGGCCAAGAACCAGATCCAGAGCGTCCTTGCGCAGCGGAGGGCTCACCAGGTGATGCAACAGCAGCAGCTCCAACAACAGCAACAACAGCAGCAGATGCAAGGAATGGGTGGTATGATGGGTCCTCACGGAATGTAGGGTGATCCTGGTGTCTTGATGTTGAGGTGTCTGCACCACCACCACTGAAGATGCCTTTACCTTCAAGGCTATATTGAAAATGGCAGTCGTCTAGGTGGGTGAGATGGAACGATGTACCGACAATGGCGGGAGGGGAGCTGGACTGGTTGTGAGCGTATTTTTTTTCCCTACACATTTGGCGTCTGGGGAATCCAAGGACGGATTGGCTGGTTTTGATCTACTCATGATCTTATATACCCCTACGAAGGCGCATCTACCTTATCCTTCAAGGTGCGGTTAGGGATGGACGGCAATTCTTATTTTTTTTTTTTTCTTTCCAAGTCACGGCTCATGGGGTAGGAGAAGACAGCGAACCGAAAGAAATGTGCATACACGCCAGGACCTCCTCAAGGTTCTGAAGAAGCGAGTTTAATGTATCACTTGGTGTATCAAATAAGAATTCATACAATATCAACCACGCATTACCTACCCTTCCTACAGTTACCTATCTACCTAGGTAGGTGGGTATTCTGCAAAGGCAGTACGGTTCCTCGTACTGTCTGATCTGATGGCTGTGATTGATGCTTATGTCATCAAGCATATGCGCAGTAACTGGGATATCCACTTACCCATGCTGAGGCACTTGCACGTGATTCGCTAGATCTTCGGCATGACGATGGTGCTGCGAGCTACCCAAACGGTTGAGGTCCACTGACCCTGTTCGCAGTTGCATCACATCAGCCAGCCAGAGGTCATCCACTGCCCCCCTGCCCGGCTTCCCACGTAGCAAAGCCACATGGTCCATTCCTAGGCCCTGACCTTGCCAATTTCCTCTAGAACCGCACTCATTTCGTACTACAAGTTGTACATTTTCGTCACGTCTCCCGGTATTCATCCAACGTCTTTGCAGGCTTGCTTGGTAAGCGTTTGTCTGGAGAGCTGCAATCCCTCCCCGGTACAAAAGATCTGTTCCGACCCGGACGCGACCCGGTTTCCCCGACCTGTCGAACCCCATCGAAGCTATCCGGACGATCGGTCTAATCTCCCGAGATGCATTTCCCTCGTCTTCAACGGACGGAGGCAGTCTTTCTGCTGGCCCTGCTCATGTCGCCATTGCCAGCGGCCTCGATGCTGGACTGCAAGCATATCCTGGTGGATGATGTCGCGTTCAACCTTGGGGCACTAGGTGGGCCGCACAGCGTCGTGACCAGCAGATGGCATCCTCCTACCTTCACCAACACTTCCTACACCGTCGATATCTGCGCTCCCCTCAAACGGAAGGGAGATGTCAAGAAAGATGAGCAATGTCCTAGCTCCACGCGAGGCAAGCTTCCGCCCTGTCTCGAAAGCATGGTCCACAAAGCTAACGTTGATGAACAGTCTGTGCCATCGAGCGCACCATTCACCCGGGCCCGGATAACAAGGACGAGGTTGAGAAGGTGATACCTATTGCTGGCGAGCTGGGCGATCACGGGGGACGGGCACTGGACGCCAAGCCCGAGCGGCTCAAGTCGAGCGACTCCCACTCGGATGCGAAGAAGGAGGGCGTTCGGCTTATCCTCAACGGCGGATCTTATCCCCTGGGTAGGAGCGGCAGAAACCAGAAGGCCATTATCGAATTCATTTGCGACCGCGACAAGACTGGCCTCGAAGGCGAGTTCAAGCCCGAAGACCAGTACGACGGCAACCAATTCCAAGCCCGCGATGAGGACAAGGATGGCAAAGACGAAGACGGGCCCTCACCGGTCGAGAAGCAACTTCTGATGCCCAACGCCTCCCTGATCTGGAACAGCTACGGCCCGAGCGATAAGGAGGACGTGGACGTCCTGAGGCTGACCTGGTACACCAAGTATGCCTGCGAGGACGCGTTCGGAAAGCCGCCCAGCGAAGGTGGCAGCGGCGACGCGAGCAGCCACTGGGGCTTCTTCACCTGGTTTTTTGTTCTGTAAGTCAACCCGACACGTTGTGTCTTGCTCGGCAACAACACGACGGCAGCAGCTAACTTGCCATTTCTGTAGGAGCTTTCTCGGCATCGCGGCCTACCTTGTCTTCGGCTCCTGGCTGAACTACAACAGATACGGCGCTAGGGGCTGGGATCTTCTGCCGCACGGAGACACGATCCGCGACATCCCCTACCTGGTGAAGGACTGGACCCGTAACGTGCTCAGCACTGTCAACGGCAGTGGCAGCCGGGGCGGGTACAGCGCTGTTTAGAATGGGCGTGGTGCTTCGGGCATCTGCAGGGTAGAAGAAGTGTAAATTTATCGCTGTAAACTGGGTTAGTCACTACGATTCTGGGTCCATGGTCTTTGGAGGGCATTATTCCGCGAGTCTCACCGCGACTTGGAGTTGGACTGGCTTTTGGTCTCTGAGGCTTTTCACATTAACTTGTTCGTCCAAGAAATACAATATGATTGAAACGGCGTCGATATTTCATTGTCCGGTTGGTATAGATGCGACGGACGTTGTGGTTCCGTCCCAGGCAACCCCGTCCGGGAGCGCAGCGGGGGATGTTCGGTGGACCAATGATGGATGTGGGGCCGGTGACAGCATCGGGGGGGGAGGGGAAAAAAGCCGCCCACTGACCTCGTACCTCCCGGCTTACCTCCGTACATCTCTCATACACACAAGTCGAACCACTAACACGGCCACCAGCACCAACAGAGCAGAGCCACGGCATGGCAGACAAGACGAGCACAAGGGACGACGATGTGGCTCGCGGTTTCGTTGATGAGGACTTCCCGCAAGATGAGGACAAGAAGCCATCTCCCTCCTTCATTCCGCTTCCACTGCCCCAGCTCACCGACGAGCCCCAGACCCTCCCCGACTGCTGTCTGAGCCTCTCCTTCCCTCTACTCCGGGAGCTTCACGGCCGCCTTCCGCCCGCGCCGCACCTCACTCTTTCGATCGGCAGCGGCACCGGCCTCGTCGAGGGCCTCCTGCATGCCCTCGCGTCGTCGTCGTCGTCGCCACCGCACGCGACGCTCAATCTCGTCAGTGTCGAGGTCGCGCCCAGCCCGAACCGGTATCACGCGGCTCACCGCACCGTCCCGGGCACCTGGGCGCTCGACCCGTTGGCGGGGGAGGCGCGGGCGTGGGTGTTTGTGTACCCGAAGCAGGTGGCCCTGGTGCGCGAGTACATGGCCGCGTTCTCAGGGGAAGAGGGGTGCGCGGTGGAGACGGTGGTATACATCGGGCCGCGGCGGGACTGGGACGATTTCCGGGCCGCGTTCGAGGGGTTCGCGAGAGACGTCGAGGTCTGGGACGAGGAGAAGATGGAGGCGGTCGGGGGCAGGGCGTGGGAGTGCGTTGCTATTGTGAGGCCGGAGAAGCGCAGGAGGTCTTCTCCGGATTCGTAAAGAGGAGCAGAGGCCTTGCAGTTGCCGGGTAAAGCACTTGGAGGGGAGGGGCTGAATACTGGAGGCTCGACGCGTGTTCTGCTCTCTGCGGGTGAACGAACGCGCCCCCAAGGTGGGACAGGCACAGTGCCCGGCAGTCATGCGCCCTTTCATCCAGACCCTGAGCGCCATCTAAGCTCTCATAAGTTGGCAAACCTCCTCCTTGATTTGTTTTTATTTGATGCTAACATGTACAGAGTCAGTGGAAGTCCTCCAACCATGGACACGTGGGATTACACGCCAGTCCGCCGAGCCATGCATGGAGAATAAGCGGTATGAAGATTCATCATGTCACTTGAAGCACCAAAAAGTGATGGCACCGCAGCATAGTTCATACGAGCCATTTGGTCTTGCCCGGGGCAATGATTGGAACCCCCGCCTTCTTCTTTTTTTTTTTTTCTTAAAAGAGCATCCGATATTGTTCACGCTAAGAGATCGTGTCTATGTCTGGAGATATGACTAAGTAAATTCTAAAGCTATGCAAAACGACGCTTATCGACAACCATCCTCCTCACGGCCAAAATGTAGACTTGGTTCGTCGACATTAACCCTTTAGTGCTTTTAATCACTTGCTACATGGCGCGACCTGGGGCGTACGTCTGCGCACAAAAAGTAAATAGCGAAATATGTACACACACAATGGAATTGCCTCCGAGGTCAACTCTGAGAACGCTCCTTGGGCTGTCCCCTTACGCAGCGGCGGCGGCGGCGGCGGCCGGCGGCTTCATGGACGCGGCGAACTGGGCGGCCTCGGCGGCGTTTTCGCCGTACGTCAAGTGGGCGCGGCGGATCTGGCTGCCGCCCTCGCAGATGTTGTCGCCGTTGTGGCAGATGATCTTGGTCCTTTGGGTGGGGACGCCCTGGACGGGCTGGCCATTGACTGAGGAGAGGGTCAACTTCAAGTCTCATCCGGGGCGAGGGAAGAAAGGCTTACGTGGGTCGCCAAAGATGACGGCACCAGCGACGCTGGCCACCATGGTCTTGGACATCATCGCCGCGGCGTTGTGCACCAGCTGGCCGCCCTGGGAGTAGCCGGACATGATGATGGACGAGCTGGGGCACTTGGTGATGGCCTTCTCGGTGAGGGTGGCCATCATCTGGGAGCCCTTGGCGTCGCCGCCGGCGAGGAAGCCTTGGACGTTGGCGGGGTACTCGACGCCCTGGACGGCGAGGCCGCCGCCGACTTGGGCCGACAGGGCCTGGAAGAAGGGCGGGCCGGCGATGGTGCCGACGTTGCCGCGCTCGGTGGTTCCGCGGGCGAAGATGACAATCGTGGGCTGGCAAGGGCCCGAGAGGCCGTCCTGCTGGTTGCTCGAGAAGTCGGCCTGCCGGGGCCCGATCGCGAAGGGGGAGGCGGACGCCATGCCCAGCACGGCAAGGAGGAGGGCCGGTGTTGATCGGTGCATCTTATTCAGTCCCCCGGGCGGGGTTATTATATCTGTGTATAGGCTGAACTAGGCGTAGTGACTTTGATGAAGACGAAAGTTGGGCCAACAAAACTTCAAATTGTCTCCCGTCATGATGGTAGATGGGGAGGAGAGTGCGACCTTGGGCTTCTTATACCGGGGGACTCAAATCCCCCGCCCCCCTTTTCCCCCGGCCTGGACCGCCATTCAAACTACGCAGACGGCTCATGGAACAAAGATACAATAAGCTCAACTTCCCAGTTGCAAGATGATGTCGTTTCCTGTAGCACAACGGCTTCGGATGCCGCAACCTCCTCCCGATGGGGAAAGGAGGGCGGACCACAGACTTAGCGACCCGCACGTGGGGGGGTCGACCCTGATGACGCCGTCGCTGGACGAGTCTGAAGGGATGGGCACTCTGGCTGACTGAGAATGGGGGAAGGGGGGGGGGGGGGGGGGGGGGGGGGGGGGATAGAGACATGGCAGATGGAATGCCAGCCGCAAGCATAGCTGGAACCGTCAAGCGGGACCCTTGAGAGCTCGTCACGACAAAAATCACGTCGTCAATGGCAGAAGACTGACGGTCCCTGCCCTCCTTCGCTAACAGGGCAGAAGGAAACGTCCGAATCGGGCTCGAATCATCAGACGGTAAAAGTTGCGATTGGTCGAGGCCGTTTCATGGACGAGGCTGGTCCGATGTGCTTGCGCAAGAGGACGATCCGAAACGACCTGGTGCGCAGCAGCGGGCAGAAAGGTAACGAGCACGCCGGGTCATTTCCAGAAAAGCTTTTGTTTCCTTTCCTTTCCTTTTCCCTCTGTTGTCCTCTCCCCCCTCCCATCGGAGCGATCCAGATATGTGCGGGCTGGTGTTTGACGAGGTTTTTGCTTTTCTTCTTTCTACTTCTTTTCTCCCCCTCTTTCCTGGCGCGCTGGATAGAGTAGTTAGCTGGTGGACCAGAAGCAGACGAGGAGGCACTGCTAGCCCTCGGCCCGAGGGAAGAGTGACAGGTCTCCGGCATCACCTTTTTGTCTTTCTTTTTGTGATCCGGCGCCCCTTTTCCCCATATTCGTCGTCTCGATCAGGAAGTGTTTCTTCGTCCTTTGGAAGAGATGGAAAAGTTGTTCGTCACTTCCGAAGGCGTGGTTGACCGTTGACGACATATGAGGGGGGGGTCATTCATTAGGCGAGTCCGTCCGCTGAGAGTCGTCTCAAGTCTCGGCCGGTTCTGTCCAAGGACGAGCGAAACGCAATCGGAATGGACGCAGAATTTTGAGACGAGTGGCGTTCGGTGGGATAACCTAAATGAGGCCTGACCTTTCACCTCGGTCCTGACGCGCAGGGCTTGAGGATGCTGTTAACGAGGCGGGGTCGGCAAGCGTAGCGGGGCCTGAGTGACGCCAGTCCAGTTATGCTACGCTTCGGTTTGCTCGCCCAGTTCTCTTGGGGATGTAAGTTGGACCCCATCGGCGTCTCGTCCTTATAGGATTCCTGGTAATGGGATAGGGGTGTGCGACGGTGATATGGCGTACGATCGCCGGGATCACGTCGTCGGAGATGGAGCTTCCACATGGGGCAACGGTGTTTGCTTTTTCGTACCTTTCACCGATCAATTCGGGTGGTGAGGGAGCTGGCATGGTGGAGAGTTTTGTGTGGAGTAATTTTGGATGGCTGAGCTGCTTATGGACGGCGTATCGACTAGACTTCCGGAAGGGCAGCTGACAGTCGTGCGGAGAGTGTTGATTGATACACGGCGGGCTCAACTAGGTTCTATCGTGTGCTTTCTACATTCGGGACTCTGGGAGTGTCATGGTCTGGCTTTGGCTCAGTTTCAAAATCTTAAACTAGGTCCTTGGGACAGGCAACCCTGTGCGTAGCTGAGTGAGGGTCGCGGAGGTCCGTCCATGGTCAAAAGGCAGATGTGAGCCGTCAAGTCGGGTCTTGATCTTCGTTTCCGGTCCGTGGGACTATCATTTGATGTCCAGGGTACCAGCCCACCCGGCAAGTATCCATTAACTTCGTGAAGCATGGTTCTCCTGGTGGAGAAACATGACGGAACCCCGTCGTGTTCTCAGGCGGGGAGAGTCGTAAAGAAACTGGCCAAAGAGCCCTCAGGATTGCGGGTTACTGAATTCACATTAATCACTTGTGGGTGAGCCCAGCAAGTTCTAACGTCACGATAGACAAGATTCGCGGAGCTTGCTAGTTCTGGTTTCATCGGGCGATAAAGGGCGATGATTTGTTGCGCGCAGCAGATGCTGAAGTCAGCGACGCATTCGTGACGCAAATTGTTCGTCTCCATGACTTCCGAGGTTTCCAGCTGAGCTTTTGTCATGATTGCAACTGAATCTTTTCACCTGCTTGATGTTGGGTAACTCGGCAATGGAGCCTAAAGTATTTACCCTGTGTAATGGAAGACGAAAAGCAGCTGAAGCCAAGACAAGGAAAAGCGGTGCTGGCGTCGACTTGCTGCGGCAGATGAGTTCCAAATGACAGGGAGACAAGTCGATAAGGCTGTAGCAAGAAGGGCGGTCACAGGAGGTGAAAGTCACAACGTATGGCTCTTTGGAGTCAGAGCAAACTGCAAGATTTTGAAAGAACAGTGCACGCGTTTCTATCCAATGCCTGACTTCGAGATTTCTCCATCCAAATATCATTGCTCGATTGCGTAGGCGAAGCACCTGGAATTCCAACCGCGCGGCATTCTTGTCTGAAAGGCCGTTGTCTGCCTGTAGTTCCTCATGGGCTTCCTCACCTCCCCACACACAGCCTGTTTTATGCTCGACCTCGCCAAGGAGTCTCATCTCGAGTCTCTTGATCTTGCCGCTATCGTCAGCATCGAAGATCATGACCATCCGTTGCTGCTTGTAGGTGGACGCATCCAAACGATTGTAAACTTTGACGGGGCAGGTGATGCGACCTCGATCTACTATGGTAGTGATGATGCGGATAGTCTCAATGTTAGAGATGCAGAAGTCGATGACTTCTTCCACGCCCTCGTGTACCTCTTCTGAGCCCCTCTCGCCAGTAATCATAGTAATGTCTTTGGTGCAGAGTTCTTGGAATAATATCTCTGCATAGTCGACGTCTTCAATTGCAGCGATAAGACGATGGGCTCTGGCATCAAGCTGACGACCAAGGGGCTTGTATCTGGAGTCTCCAAGCAGCTCGCTGAAAAGGCGCTGCTCTTTCTCCGCCTCTGGAAACCATCGTGCTGTTTCAACACGTTGTCAGCACGAGGTCGTTCCCACTCCTGGGTAACCATTTAGACATACCTGGCGTTTGAACGTGCTTGTTAGGTTGAGGTTAATCGCGGTTGTGCTTCGCAAATGTATCGTTTGGATTGGGCTGGTGATTGAGACTTTGTTGACTTGATGAATAATCGAACCGATTGAATTAGATGTTGGCCCACTATCAGGTGCTGTGTGGGTTCAGTTGGTGGAGTTGATGAAGGAGAGACATTGAGGAGAGAATACCGAGCGAGCTGGTTGCTTTTGTAGCAAGGTGACGAAAAGCTGGGTAGGCTTCGGTAAGGAAAGAGCTATTGAACCAGACATCAGAAGGGGCAGGAACGGCGAGGCAGGTGCAAAGTGGGTATTTTTACATTCGCTCTTTCTTTCTTTCTTTCTTTCTTTCTTCGTCACAAATGTTTAGTCAACAACCTTTGCAAATACACGTAAAAGCTGACGGTCATATACATTTGAGCGGCTCGCTCAATAGACGTTCCTTGATATTCAAGATGCTCAATGAGCCCATATCGAAACAGACGTGTGAAGAGACAATTATCGCTGGCCTAAACTGCCGCTGCCTTGCAAGGTGTGGAATCTAAGTCTAGGGTTCGTAGGGAGGTTGTTCTTTTAAACGCCGGCGCCAAATGATTAATTACATGGGGGATTCAAGTCCTATCACGCGTGAGAGAGTAAGGGAGGTGTTCATGAGCGGGTGACGGAGATGGCCTCCTCCAAGATGTCCAAGCCCTGCTGGATCTGCTGCTCCGTGATGGTCAGAGGGGGCACGAAACGCAGGGTGTTGGTGCCGGCGGTGATGACCAGCAGGCCGCGCTCGCGGGCGGCCTTGACGATGGGCGCGGGGTCCTGGGTCAGCTGGAGGCCGAGGATGAGGCCGCGGCCGCGGACCTCCTTGATCAGGTCGGGGAAGCGCTCGCGCAGGGCGTCGAAGCGGGTCTTGAAGATGTCGGCCTTGGCGGCGACGGCCTTCTGCAGGCCGGGGTCGGCGAGGCGGGAGACGATGTTGTGGGCGAGGCGGCAGGCGAGGGGGTTGCCGCCAAAGGTCGTGCCGTGGTCGCCCACCTTGATCTTGTCCGAGACGGTGCCGTTGACGATGGTGGCGCCGATGGGGAAGCCGTTGCCGAGCGCCTTGGCGGTGGTGATGATGTCCGGGTGCGCCTCCTTGGGCAGGTGGGCGTGCGCCCAGAACGCGCCGGTGCGCGACAGGCCGCACTGGATCTCGTCGTAGATGAGGACGGCGCCGACCTCGCGGCAGCGCCTGGCGAGGGCGATGAGGAACTCGTCTGTCGCGGGCGTCACGCCGCCCTCGCCCTGGATGGGCTCGACGATGACGCCGCACGTCTTGTCCGTGACGACGTCGTTGATGGCCGTGACGTCGTTGAACGTGCCGAGCTTGAAGCCGGGCAGCATCGGCGCAAAGGGTTCCTGGTACTTGGGGTTGTGGGTGGCCGACAGGCTGCCCATGGTGCGGCCGTGAAAGGCGTTGTTGAACGAGACGATCTCGTACTTGTCGCCCGAGGTCTGGCCGACCTTGGCGGCCTTCCTGGCGAACTTGATGGCGGCCTCGTTGGCTTCGGAGCCCGAGTTGCAGATGAAAACGGAGTTGACGTCGTGCATAGCGCCGGCCTCGCGGGTCTTCTCAACCAGGAGCTTGGAGAGGGCGCCGGTCCAGGGGTTGTAGTAGAGGTTCGATGCGTGCATGAGGGTGCTGCCCTGTTGGGTGTTGGCGCCATTGGTCAGTAACGGTCGAGATGACTCACGGCACACCTCGGGGGGAGACGGGGGAGGCTGCTCACCTGCTCGGTCAAGAGCTTGGTAAGCTCCGGGTCGCAGTGGCCCAGGGAGTTGACGGCGATGCCGGCGGTGAAGTCGAGGTACTGCCTGTTCTCGATGTCCCAGAGCACAGATCCCTGGCCTTTTACGAATACGGGCGGTGGGCGGGCGTAGGTGGCGACCATGTAGGGCGCATGTTCGCGTACGAGGGCGGCGCTCGCCGAGTCTTCGGTCGGATCAGGGTTCGGTAAAGAGGCTTGGCTCTAGGAGAAACGAAGCTGTCGTCAGTACCACTGTAACTTCGAAACGCGCGGTCTTTGGGGAGGGGGAGGGGGTAACCGACTGCGATGCTGCTCTTGACGTCCTCCGGGAGGCTCGAGGCGGCCGTCGCAGCAGAAGACACCGCACGAGCGTTGCCGCGCGAGGAGATGGCCAGAAGCGGCTGGCACTTGGCCAATTGCAGTCGCAGAGGAGCACGGAACGCCATTGTGATATATTCAAGAAAGAAAACAAGACTCGGGCGGTGCACAATGGTGGGTGTTGCAGAGAGAGAGAGATAGAGAGAGAAAAGTCACACACCCGTTTTAAAATTTAGGGCCGTTCGCGCATGGATAGAGCAGAAGTGACTCGTCGATCCTGCTATCGATAAGCCGTTCGTTTTTGCATCGAGGGGCACATCCTCTTTTCCCGGAGGTACGTGCATTTAGACCCCGGCGATCCCGCTCCGATCTCGGCCGTGGTCGGACGAAACGAGCCCGGAATATGTCGAATTGTTTCTGCAATGACAGGGACCACCAAAGAAATCAGATCTACAAGTTACTCAATGACATGGTATGGTACGGTCTCTTTCGAACAATTTAATTTCTCGTTCAGCGGCCAGCTGCTCGCAGTCGAAAGCATAGTGCCGAAACTCCCGCCTTTCGTCATTGTAATGTCATACTGACTGTATCAATATTGGATTAAGCCTTTTGAATTTATGCAAAAAATACAGAAACACAGGCCTATCCAACCATCAACGGCACACGATTCTTCTGGCTCTTCGCTTGCCGCCCGATCTCATAAAGGCGGCAACAAGACTGCGCGATGTACAGTTTCCCGCCGGATTGGGTCGTGATGCTTATTGCCGTTTTCAAATCGTACTGTTCCAAATAGAATAGAGATCGTTTTGGCTTGCAGTGTGATTAACGAGACTGAATATTTACAAGTTGGACAGGTCTTGAAGCGCTAAACGCATTCTGTAACGATGGCTTCATCCAGCACCTGTCAGGTGGATTATCATGTGCCATATCACGTGGCGTTTTACTCACTACTCGCATCACTTACCTATATATAGAATCTTTTCTTTACATCTATACTTCCATAGGATAAGCCTTTCTTGATCCTATTCTTGTAGGCCTTACTGTGTGCTATAACTCTTGACACATTCGCTCATCACCGAGACCCAGAAGTATTTGGGAATTTACCTCGTCTTTCCGAGAAGCGTGGTAGCCCTGCCATGCCCTTATTTGTGAGAGCGTTCCTGACCGTTTCATTCATTAACTCAGGCAGCGCCGTGAGAAACGCCACCACGTTGCTGAAGCCTAGTGGCCCTTCCATGTCGCCACAGAGAAATATTTCGAGGCACAGCACGAGTTTACTTTCGGACTTGAGGACTTGAAATAATCCGGCAGCAATAGACCCTTAGGGTCGCCTTCCGGGATGTCCGAGGAGATCCCCAGCAAGGCGTAAACGATATCTCGGGTATCGGTTGCACGGCTTCCTCGGAACTACAGCAGTAAAGCTTGTAGACTCTTTGCCTTTGCAGATCCCCCCATTGAAGGGATTGGCACCAAGTCCAGAACAGCCCCAACTTGAGAGCTTGATTTGACTCCGACGAGTATTGCGCCAGTCGCGAGCATATGAGCCGGGGCGGACCATCTGCCGCAGCATACCGAGGCCGCGCGAGTATGGAAGACCTCTTGCACGATCCAGATTCGCGTGAACCAAGGCTCCTCGAAAAGGGACATCAGGCCGTCTCGTAGGAGTTGACAAAGGGCTATCCGGCCATTGCTCGAGTCTTGCTCGGCCGATAACCAATCTTCTTTTGCACGGCTGCCACTGGTGCTCTTGTGGTCTTTGTGACCCGACGTCTCTCGATGAATCTTTTTCAAAAAGCCCATCAAGACTTTGGTTTTGTACGAGGAAGGCCCCAGCCATATGAGGACCTTCTCTGCTTCCCTGTAGATGTCAGCCATCTGTCCCACCTGGTGCCCTCGCCCCGCGTTGTTGCCTTGGTCGATGCACACGGCATCGACCCACAGCATCCTTCTTTGGTCATGGCGGACATGGTTCAAGGCATAGAAAAGACTCTCGGTGACGAGAAGCCTCTTGCAGTTCACCGTTATGGATTCCGACAAGTCGTTGCTTCCCCAGGCGTATGACAGTCCTTTGGTTGGTAACCATCCTAGGGTAGGGTTCCGTTCCATGGGAAACCCTCGTGGAGATAGATGTTGGACTTCTACATGGCCTACTGCCACCCATGGAATGCTGAAGCTCTTGCAATCTAATAACGCTTCTCGTTCATGTTATCCCACATGAGCCGAGCGGATATTCACTGAAGCTAAAACAATAGGTCCTTGTAAGCCAGCAAACCCGATCGAACAACGCGAGAGCACCGTCGAAGCCTTCAAAGATCTCCCGGGAAGATCAAGTTCTACCAACAGCAATAACTGACAGTCAGTTGCAGGGAATTACCCAAATGAAGCCTGATACTGCCAAGCCCCGTGGCGACATCGTGTCCCGCAAAAAGCAGCAAGCCTATTCTTCAAATGCGGTCTGCCTACTTTTCTCCATGTCGTAGTTCCGGTCAATGTTGAAGCAGGTGCTTGATGTTTCAGGGGAGAATAACAATAGCTCAGGAACAAATAAAACTATCTTCAGAATGCAGCAAGAGCAGAGCTTATAGATGCGCTAGTTGCAAAGCTGGCCAGGCCTGCAAGCTAGGAGATCTAGATCCCTTGGATCCAATCAGTAAGCCATTTCCCGCTAAACACACAAGGTTAGTTACCCTATTTATTGATCTTATTCGCAGCTTTTTGAAGCCCTCTTCTCAGCTTTTGCTACTATTGTGAGCTTGAAAAGGGGCGTTTCCCAAGCCAGGAGTGTCTGGTCATTTGGCCCTGTGTAAAATCAATTTGTTCAACACATGAGGTTAGGAAGCCAAGACTGGCCGCAAAACCTGTGGAGATTAGCGGCTGAAGGGTGCATCCGTCGGGCTGGACATCGGGTCAGATGATAACGCAACGGCCCTTGGACCTAGCCAAACAATGCGGTGTCGAGCTTCAAAGACTAAGCAGAGCAATGTGGTGGAAATAAGGTGGTGGAGCAGGGCCAGACCTCGTCCCCGAGAGTATGGTTCGCAAGACTGGGAGCTGAAGATCGTATTCCTCCTTTTGGACTGGCGTCAGGAAAGGGGGGGTTTTAAGCTGTCCAGGCACGCGTCTAGGTCGGCTGTCTAGGCGCCGCCCGACGACGCCGTCTACTCTTGTTTTCCCTAGCGAGATTTCCCCAGATGACGCCGGCTACTGATCGCCTTGAGAATGTGGTTTTGGGCTTTTCTTTTAGGAACTAGACCGGCTTTTGACTCATAAAGTGGCTGTCGACTAGTCGGTTCCCCCACACGGGCCTTAATATTTCCAGCCTGTGTCGCAGGCCAGGCTGAGAAGGGCCTCGAACTTGGCGGTTAACAGACACGTTGTGAGCCTCTGATCGCTGGGAATTCCGAGGAGCTGGGCCCGAACAGACGCCACGCCCTGGATGCCTTGCCGCTCGTGGCATCTGGGGAGGAGGGACTGAAGTCATGTGTCGAACGACGGTAAACGGCTGGAGGGGAGCGATTGTGGGTGTCTGGATGTCTGCCTTGTGGCAGGACAAATCCAGTATTAATAGTCCCCGTCTCCGGCCTTGGAGATGTTCTTGTTTCCTCATCCCTTCCATCATCACCCTCTCTCCACACTCGTTCAACAAAGCCAAATCATCTATACTCCCGCAGCCATGCGCACCTGCTCTCTCCTGGCCCTTGTGAGCCTCACGCTCGTCACCGTTGCCTCTGCAGACTCTGCAGACTCTGCAGACTGGTACTATCTTGGCGCGATCAACCCCATCGCTCCCGAGAACGTATCCAACGATACGGCAGTCAGCAAGCGATCTGCCGGACTGGTTTCTCATGGCCCCTCGGTCCGACGGAACGTCCTGAAGCGCTCCGTGAACGGCATCAGCGATACCCTACCAAGCCCATGGGCTTATATGGGATGGTGAGCATATCGATGGCCGTAAAAGGCATATGCTGTCTTGGTTAGCCATTGCTGACGGTGTTCTCTCAGTTTTACCGATGTCTCGTCCTCGAGAGTCTTGAGCGGCGACAGCTACCACGGAGATGACATGTCGCAGGAGAAATGCATTGCTTACTGCGACGGAAAGGGATACGGTGAGTAAACATCCCTCCCATACACACGCACATGCACACACTTCAAAGCACATAGAACTCGCCCTGACCGTCGACAGGTATGGCCGGCGTCGAATGGGGCCGTGAATGCTACTGCGGCTACGTTCTCGATCCCGCCTCCGACAAGGCGCCCGAGACCGACTGCAAGAAGCCGTGCGCCGGCAACAGCGATGAAGTCTGCGGTGAAGGCGGGCGCCTCAACGTCTTCACCAACGGCGACGTGGCGCCCGCCGTCCTGGCCGCCTCCGGGGACTTCAACTCGCTCGGGTGCTACTCGGACCAGTCCTCGGCCCGCACCTTGACCACCCGCATGAGCCTCCCTGGCAACGTGAGGGTCAGCGACTGCACCACGGCCTGCGCCGCCCAGGGCTTCCCGTACGCCGGGCTCGAGTTCGGCAAGGAGTGCTTTTGCGGCGCAAGCATCCAGAACGGAGGTGCTCCCATCCCGGCCAAGTCCTGCAATATGGCCTGCACCGCCGACAAGTCGCAGTACTGTGGTGGTGCGGCTGCCATCAACATCTATAAGAGCTCCAAGCCCGTTACGGGCGGCCCCAGTACGCTCCCCGACGGCTGGATCGCCGATAGCTGCTACACCGATAGCCCCTCACAGCGGGCTCTCTCGTACAAGGTGCCCAGCTTCGACAAGTTCAGCGCCGCCCAGTGCGTTTCTCAGTGCGACAGCCTCGGATATGTGAGTAGATGTCCTGCCCATCCATCACTGCAAAGCGTCCTTCGCCGCCTCCTCCTTGCTCTACCTGCACGACGGGAGCTGACCCAAGCCACCACAGGAATACGCCGGTACCGAGTACAGCTCCGAGTGCTACTGCGGCAACAGCATCGACGGCGGCAACTCGCCGGCTTCCAGCGGCTGCGACATGTCGTGTGCCGGCAACCAATTCGATACGTGTGGCGGCGCCGGGCGCATCAGCATCTACAAAGCCGACTGCAAAGGCACGCCCGACTGCCACTTCAACTACGGCAAAATCGATCTGACTTTCCCCGCGACCAAGAAGGAATGCTCGGATCACTGCCATGCGGACCCGGCCTGCGTGGCCATTCAGGTCGGTTATACCGGCAATACCCTCTTCTGCAACACTTTCAGCAAGCCCATTCCCGCCATCCGGGCGCATAGTGACAGCCCGGGCTGCTTATCTTACACCATGTACAACGGTGTCTGTTCCCTTTAGACGAGCCGGAACAACTTGCGCGGAAGAAAAAAGTCTGGCGTCTGCCAGCGCTGGCGGGTAATCATGTAGTGGCGGACGCGTCCTGGGAGTTGTTCTTATAGTGTGGTAGTGATTTAATGCAAAATCCCATCGCCCGCAAAGCTAAATCTCTCTCTCTCTCTCTCTCTCTTTCTCTGTGGCGAATATTCTACGGGCGGGAGCGGCTCAAGTCACACGAGTCGGTGCGTCGAGGAATATGTGCGCCGCCGGCAGGGATCAGCCGGGGAGTCGACATGGAGCTAAGAGATAGGTGCGGATCGCCCTCCAACTTCTGGCCCGTGGTGTCGGAGAAGAGATGCCTCCTTGATTGCCGACAAACATTGACTGCAGACCAGCCAAGATGAGTAGAGTTTTCCCGCAAAGGAGGCGCCCTGAATCGTCCATCTTGCTCTGTTACCTTTATGAGTCCGAGTCTGCGAATCACGGCCAAACACATTCTGGAGGATCCTAGGCTGGAGTCCACACACGATGCCTTGGCCGAAAGGTATAACATTAAGATGTCGTCCTCATGACTCGTCAGATGCTTGTCGTGAAATATGGCGTCTATTAGTAGTGTTGCTGATGGATGACCGAGTCCAGGACTGATTTAGCTAATGGCTGTCAACTAGTTATCGACTTTGTCGTTATCCATAAGCCCGTGCGTGACTTACGTAATTAAGCAGCTCTCCAGCGAGTGAGTGCATTTCGACAGCGGAGTAGCGCGGGGAAACAGGAGCTGACGGCAGCGGAGATGTGGAGGGAGTCAGCAGCAGGATCGCGCTAAACTAGGGTAGGTAAGCGACAGTATATGATTGGCTATGGTCGATGGTTGGACCTGGAGTGATACCATATTGGGACTAGCTTGGAGTACAGCAGCACCCACGTGCCCCTCTCTACCCCGTACGGGTCACGCTGTCTTGTGGTCTCTTTCTGACTCCGAGCTCCGGGTGGACTGGGGCCCTCTTCACATGTCAGCTGCTGCGCCGTCCCCCAAAGAAGGAAACCCAAGGAAACGTCACTGTCGCACCTAAGGAGCCAGCCAGCAATTGAACCGAGTCACATTGAAACATGTGCCGCCGCTACCCTGGTCGCCTGGCTCGGGGACCCTCTGTCCACGAGGAGCCTCTTCTTCCATTGTCCATGTTGTCGTTGTCCTCGCTATCGTCATTGTCTCTTCTCTCTCTTCCCGGAAAAATCAGTCAGTCTTGTCCTCGTTGACGGCCAGCTTCTCCTCCGAATCCCCCATACCCCCCCCCGGAGACACCGTCGTCCATCCATTCAATCCTGGCACCATCTCCGTTTCTTCCGGCCCTCGGCCGCTTGGCTTCCCCTTCCATCTCCAAACGACCGGAGTACCTCCCGGCTGTTATTTCGAATCATCCCAGACACAAGAGTGGCGGCCCGTGACCTCGAACCATTTTTTTCGCGCTGTTCCTCGCCAAGCCGCCTTCCCGTGCCCCGTCGCCTTGGTTAGGGATTTTAGCCCGGGGAGC